AGTCCTTCTCACTCACCATCCGCGCATTCGGCTGGGAAACTGAGTTCAATGAAACCAACAGACGCCTCCTCGACGAATGGCATTGCCTTTTCTACTTCCTTTTCTGCATCCAGCGCTGGCTAGCCCTAGCCCTGGATCTCATGTCTACCGCTGCAGCTGTGCTGGTTCTGGGACTTGTTATTAGTTTCAGGTATCTGACTAACCCTGGGTCGTTGGGGGTATCTCGATGACTAGTGTTCTGGTGTTCATTATGAGTCTGTCGGTGTTCATTAATGGATTTCCGATGCTGGAGATGAGTCTTGGTGCTATTTCGATATTGAGGGGGGGGGGGGTTGTGAAGATGACGCCTGCTAAGGCGAAAGATGGTGAGGACCAAGAACCGCCTGAGGAGTGGCCGTCGAAAGGACTTGAAGAGATCAAGGAGGTTACTGTCTATCACTAGTAAGCAGTGCCCGTTGACCGTTTGCGGAACTTGGCCAATAGTGCATAGCCCTTCGGCATCGGCACTAGACAATGCCAACCTGACCTTCTTATCTGGCCGAAGAATCGGTGTCTGTGGACGCACTGGAAGGTATGTGCTCTTCGTTCAGCCCAGGTGCTCGCTGACCCAGTAGCGGCAACTCCACCCTCCTCTCTACCATCCTGCGCACGCTCGACCTCACCCCCGACAGCATAGCCATAGGCGGCATCGACCTCTCCACCCCTCCACTCCACAAGTCCGACAACACCTCACCATTGTCCCCCAAACCTCATCCACATCCCCGGCACCCTACGCCAGAACCTCGACCCCTACTCCCTCCATACCGACACCCAGCTCCTCTCGGCTCTTCAATCTGTGCGCCTCTCCTCCCTATTTCTCGCACGCGGCGGTCTTGATGTCGAGCTCCCACTCGATTACCTCCAAAGACCAAGGTTGACTACTCGCACTAGCGAGAGCGATATTACAGAAGAGGAAAGTAGTGTTACTGGATGAGGCGACTAGTAGTATGGATAAAGAGACCGATACCGTGGTGAAAGAAGTATCGGGAAAGGAGTTTCAGGGGTACCCAGTGGTGGCGGTGGCGCATCGTCTTGAGACAGTATTGGAAATGAGATTGTCGATGTGCTTGAGGAGGGAGAATAGTGGAAGTTGGTAATCCCGGTGAGTTGATGAGCAGGGAGAGTAAGTTGAGGGGGTTGTTGCGTGGTAGTACTTGAAGATCCTCTATAGGTGCTATGGAAGATACAGGTGCTATAAGAGAACCGCCCAGGATCTAATCTCAGAATTGATGATATGCAACCCAATAGCCGAACTAGGAAGTGGCCTAGCAGACTGATCTTGTGCTTTCACAGCGATTCCAAATCGCCTCATTGGACATATGGGGTGGCCCCGAGCTATTCGTTGTAGCCCGGTCTCTGATCCTTCGGATTACAAAAAGGTGGTATGAGGCGCCCATGGAGGTAGATGGTGGTTGAGACTAACATTAGATTTCTCTAGCGACCAAGTGTATTATTTGCGCCTCGTCTACTTTTGCTCAACGGCCTTGCCCATGTTTTTGTCGTCCTCGTCAAGAGCCTCGCTTAATTTAAGAGAACTTATCCTGCTGCGAGCCATTGCGAATCTGCTATGTACAGATGGTATGATAGATAGTGGACATCGAAACAGCGTCAAGCTTCCTATGCGAATCGTGATATTACGTCTACGAAGATGTCATTGACACGCATGCTTCTGCTAGAGACGATGAACACAGTTCGGAAAGCTATGCAGCATTTTTCGTATCCTTTTGGCAAAGGAGATCATGGCAGGTGAACTCGAACTGGTAGAAAACGATACTTCCGAGCCAGAATCGAAGAGGTCCCGAAGCAAGTCTTTAAGTCAATTGATTGTATTCTGCGACACCTGGCAACCGTCGCCTGTCACAATTTAGTGTTTGGATTTTAACCAGAGGTTGTGATGGAGAGTGATACACTGTAATCTCAAAAAAAGTTCAGGGTCTCCTTCCCACGAGCTGATGGAGAAAGTATGCAACGCCATAACACTGCCATCGAAACAGCGGTCATATCTGATGAGATGTTCAAGGATACGTCGATATCTGCTGGTTCAAGAGCCGCTTCTCATGCATCCCCCTGGAACTTTCCTTCGAGATTCCACTCCGTTGATCAATCATGCATTCGCCCTGCAGCTGCGACAACCATTGGACAATTCGGATGCGACATTTTCAAGAGCCTCAGAAGAAACAGTTGGAACGGACAACTGTCCAACGGGAGGCATGCAACCTCGCTTTGACGATACCATCAAACAAACTTTGGTTCCTTGGGCCGCAAAGGGGATTTGCACGTTCCAGCTTGTTGCATTCGAAATGAAGTGCCTCAACCGACCACGAGCACAATAGCACGCTCACCCAGGCCCGCAGCGTCGTATATGGGAACGATGGGGCAGTTTGCTATACTGTATACACTTTAGTCTAATTTGTTAGCATTCAATGATATGCCTTGAGAGGAAATTTCGTGAAATGGAAGCTCTAAAGGGACACATTCAATACCCAATACCCACGGTCGTACGATGTTGGACAATATCTCAAAAGCAAGCAAGCACTAATGAAGATCACGCCGTTGGTGTTCTTTTCTTCTTCTGCAAGACCATACAAATACACACAAACTTCAATTGGGTTGAACAAGACCAGTACCTATACGATGAATTAATAATGTGTAGCGTCGACAACCTTGGCCTATCAAATGGTGAATCCTGGCTTCTACTAGCGAGTTGCATGAAGCCAGACCTGCATCCATTCAGCACCTCTCCTGTACATCTTTCAGAACATCCACGATCTTTGGAACAATTTACCATTCTACCAATACAAAGTGTTAACCACAGACATCATCAGTCTCTACCACCCCAGCAATCATCTTTTACCTTTAGGGCACCGCTCCAACGGCTTCATCAAATCACCTCTCAACATCCGCAGCTGGTTCGACCTCCATAGCGACAGCTGCGATTCTAAGCGCCAATCTACGAGTCGCTTCTCCCAGATATCAGCCTCCATATCCGTTGCCATCTAGGGCTCTCCCCATTCCGACCCCAGGGGAGCCAGAAATCACAGTTCCCAGCCCAAGGCACTGGAGTTTGCGAAACGCCTTTGTCGGCAGCGCGACCCCTGATTTCGCATCTCCCTTTCGACGCCGTGTAGGCACCGGGAGTAGCACAGCATCAAGACCGCGAAGAACGAGTGCTGCAAGGCTGTGGAACCCTACAAACTCTACTCCGAGAACCTATCCGCAGAATCTTCCTCAGCTGAGAGGACAAAGACCCTGCCTAACCAGAGGAGAAAACAACGGTACACCTATACCACTACATCATCCAGCTATTGGATCACCTAGCGAAGAGAGAGGAGCATCTGGACATTATCCATTGTTGACGCTGCCTGAGCAGCGACAGAACAGACATTCTGGATCTATAAGGGGCAGTTTACAGGTGGAAAGAAGCGGTAGCTCAACGGGGTCCAACAGGATACCATTGCCCAGGAGTATTGAAATAGCAAGAACTGAAGATCCATTAGCACTCTCTGGCACCAGACCCAACAAAGGAAAAGGAAAAGCTGTGGAATTTCAGGATACAGCACGACCGATCACAGAGGAAGACAGGAGGATCAACGATTACAGAAATCACGCGCAGAGTGTAGGACGCCCAACAGCGCCAGTACAAGGTCTTTCATTTGAGAAAGTAAAGGAGAAAGCAGAGATGTCAACCGACCTAGAGAACGGTGGACCGTTTCAGCAATATTCACCTGGCGGAATATCAAGTCTCCCCCACAACCCGAACAATGCATCGAATGCGTCATTGCAAAGCGGTATTGGACCTGCGATGTTCTCACGTCGTACTTCTATTGGTAGCGCAGATGAAGTAGATCTAGGTGAGGAATGGGGGCCTCAGCATCCATGTTTCCCACATATGAACCCTCATGTACCACTCTCATCGTCACTATACCAAACTACTCGCATAATAAGGATACGACGCGACTGGATGCCAGAAGGCGACCTCGCACCCACATTCTCAAATTTGTATCCCGAGATACTGGACCCAGCTGGTGTGAGCGAGCAAGAGTTTCGAGCCTTGGTGGATCGTGTTAATAGGGAGCTGATACCGGCGTTCAACCCATGGGGTGCGAGAAATATACTGGATGCGATTTTGGGAGTGTTGACGGGCTGGATATGGGACGATCTCGGCTTGACGGGTGTCAAGGCGAGATTGAGCAAGGTAGAGCAGTTTTTGGAGGAGTGGAATCGGGAGATGCAAATGAAGAGTAAAGATGGCGCAGCGAGTGTGCCGCAGATTGTCAGTCTGAGGAGAACTGGCTATATGAACGTATGTCTTCCGCTCCTGTTTGATGAGTGCGTGGCGCTGACTGGCTGTGTAGCTGGACATACAAGTACCAGACCCAGAGGTGTCCCGTCTGGACGACAAATCCAGATCCAATACTGGACTATCACAGCAAATCACATCATTATCAGCTACATTGTCACATTTTTCATATGCACGACTACTTTAAATAACGGCACTACAACATGGAAGGAAGCTTCGAGGAGGGAGGAGCAGGAATTGTATACCCCGTCTCAGACAGAGACTTTACGTGAGTTAGTGCGTTGGCGTTCAATGGAAGCATGGCATGGAAAAGGCTGCGTAGCATGGCGCTGAAGAAGCAGTAGTTTCGTTCTATATCCAACCTGAGCGCAGAAGCTATCGGATAACTAATTAATGTATGAATCGAAAGACTGAACCCGCTAGATATATGGATGCTCGGTCTGCCGTGAAGCTTCTCAAACGTTAATGAGACTGGTACTAACCTCCCACTGACAAACTAACTACCTAGTGAGCACATGTCTACTGAAGAGATAGTCATTGCTATCCCATCTCATGCTTTCCATACATATCTCCATACTCCACTAGCGACATCTCCCCGTCCACCATCACCATTTTTGACTTAGGTATATGATTCTCTAAGCCCTTCATGAATATTCAAATTGGCCTGCTGGCCCAATGGCAAGGCGTCTGACTACGAATCAGGAGATTGCAGGTTCGACCCCTGCGTAGGTCAAATTCAAAACGTCTGCCTCGTAGGGAGCGATTTATATTTTTACACTTTTGGCAATTACCATCATGTCACAGCATAGACAGAGAGCGCTCTTCGATATAACTTATTTTTGCTCTTTTGCAAAAACGTCCTGAATTTTTCGAGGTGGGTCCTGGGTTTCGCGTAAGTTCAGAAGTATTACGTCTGCACGTACATTGATTCAACTTCTCCTGGTCTCGCTCAAAGCCGTTCCTCTCATTCTAATTGGTCGTGTTTCTCCCGAACTATATAGGGCTTAGTCTGAACTACACTCGTAAGATATTATCGACGAACCTGATGGAATCAAAGCCTGAGAATCGACACAAAATTTAAAGGTGCCTGTTTATATACTCCCAGAAACTCCGATCGCTTTTTCTGTTAATCCCGACATAGATAATCCAGAAGTATGTAATCTGGATTGTCCACTAGAGTACTTGCCGAATTCAATACAAATAACTCCGAATATCTACTCAGGCAGACTCGTGGATCCTTCTTTCAGTTTCCACTTGTTTGTGAAATCAGATTAGAATCTGTGTGGAAAGAACAACGCGCAGCTAGATCACATCAGTCTGTCATGTCGAATTGAAGTAAAACACGCACGTTTGGAGGATTAAAACAGAGCTTTGCATTCAACTCTTTTCAAGCGCAGTCAAGCCCTCAAAACCAAGTGCCTACTTCGCGTACTGAATACAATCTCAAAAAAGGTCCATGTCCACCGCCCTTACAATGCAGTGAAGAACACAATATGTCCCTTGGCACCAAAGTCTCCCTTCCATACCTCCTGTACCCATTATCATCATCCCATCATCCATGTAATTAAGCATATGTGGAAGTCTGTTGTAAAGACTGTCTATGCCACTACGGCATATTATCCTCGTCCATAAAAAGGTGTCCATGTTCTTATCCGTTGATGGACAAGTGGAGTTTTTGTTGAATATCAAAAGTGAAGGTTGTATGTGCAGATTAAAACAGAGCGATGCCGAGCGCACGAGACTTCTGCACAGGCTCAAGGTCATCCTCCGAAAAGCAAGTAAAATAACGCTCTCTGCCAGTGCTCCGTACCTTGCGATAAGGCCAGACGCTGGCCCCATAAGATCATAAATTCCTCCAGATCACAATCTCTGATAAAACATATTGGCCAAATCAAATGATGCTCGCCGGCAGTCGTGACATGTAATGGTCCTGCCCCGAATGCTCCCACACCTCGCAAAACGCCGCCGCCCAGGTATTATTATACAGATCCAAGTCGTAAAAGTGCTTCAATGGCCTCCTGCTCCTGAGGGTTGGAGGGGATGGTGAAGGCTTGTAAATTCATATTAGGTGGTTGAAGAAGAGAATTTCGTAGTGGCACCGATTTCGCCATGGTTGAGAGGGATGGCCCACCACCGCCGTGGGATCCCCCATTATATACTCCAGGGTTGGAAAAATTGCGTCCTTTTGCAGACGCATACGATGCAGCTCGTAATGCGGCAGCTCCGACTGCTGCCCAGTCTTCGTCATCCGTCACATCATCTGGGTCGTCTTCGGCCATGACTTCGTCCTCCGGTGTTGCTTCAGAAGACGAGCATGATCCATCCAAGGACATTTTGTCTGCTTCGTTCTCGGCCATGTTGATGTCCATGTCATCATTATGAGAGAAGATGGCTGAATCGCCAGTCCAGCTGGAAACCGGCGGGTTTAAACGCGTTCTGTCGAATGAATACCCACCAGTCTTGATGATCGGCATTCCCACTGAGTAGGATGATTGATTACTAGTTGGTGGTGAGTGCTGAGAGCGACCTCGTCCTGGTTGACCTAGAGGTCTCGCATCCCAACGTCCCCATCCAACCTTCTCGAATTTGACTTCGCCATTCACTCCGCCTATATCTCCTCCATTATCACGAGCTTCTAGAGCACCAACCACAAGTCTTCTTGCCTTGGTGGGTGGGATTCCGGAGAATCCGGGTACCGAGGTAGTGAGATATCCCATGATATGGCGAATCGCCAAGGGACCGTGAGCCAGAAGGATATCTGGCAGATGGTGTTTAGCAAGAAATGAGGTAGTGATATCTCCCAGCGCATCTAATCCATATGATCCAACGTCATGACCCATATCACTATCGTTGCCAGTACTAGTATGTTCACCCTTCAAATCAAGGTCGGAATCGACCTGTTCGAGAACCACCTGGATGATGGTAGAGCGAGGTCCGTAGGGTTTGAGAGAATGCGGTGGTAGAGATGGGGAGATGGAGTTTGGCGGAGTCGGAAGAGGATGTCCTTTCATAGCAGGGAAGCTTCTGGCCGCTACTGCAGTTAAGTTGTCTCGACCAGAAGCCTTTGGAATATCGCGAGCAGTGGATGTCATGGCAGCCATTTCGAAGTGAGATGCTTTCGGACGTTTCTCTATAGGTACGCGACACAAATTAGCGACTGTTCCTAGGTTGGTGCATTGCTGTCATGAGTCTACCAGCTATGTTGATGGGCTGACTCACTCGACTTGCGATAGAAACGTAGTTGGTAGACTGGTAGACGTGACGATAAGTCCTGGAGCAAGGATGATATATAGATGGAGTGATCTAAGTTCAGATGCTATGAGCAATAGTCGAAGATAGAAGATGCTGAGCGAGGATGGAGGCGAGTTGAGAGTATTGCTAACAAGGTTCGTAGAGGTTACTAAGGTCAAGCAGATAAATTATTCTGGTTGGATCGGCGGGGAGGCAAGCTTCAATTTAAGTGGCACAAAGCGAAGATGCAAGCGATCTGATCAGTAGTATTTTCAACGTGTTGTGTTTGTTGGTGGATGTGCAGTTTGAAAGCAATGCAAGACGAGGTAGGAAGTGGAGTGCAGATAGAACCGCAATTATAGATGCACCCTTTCCAAAGCAGCCTGATGATGTTGCATCCTCACATCACTTGCAGAGTTTCACTCTGCTTCTGCTATTGAAACTTGGACGAAATACCATTATCTTTAATTAGTGAAGACGTTAAAGCAGGCTGATAGCAATACTCATCATTGCGTATTCCAACAACACCGTACCAGCTCGAACATGGGAATCTGAATTGTCATTGTGGCCACTACAGAGTACCTAGTGTCTAATAACTACCTAGTACCTAGGTTCATCAAGGTTTATACCCTGTCGGTAGGTCTGGACAAGATCTTCCGGCCAAGTTCCCTTATGAGCGTAGCAGGAGAGTTTTATTTCGAAGAACCCGTCTGCCGGGATACCTCTTGAAAGTGCCCATTTCAGTTCAAGCAACTACACATGATGTTCACCATAGAAAACACTAAAGCCAAGACCTCGCTCAACCGGCGGGTGACATGAAAGTCGAAAGTGATAGAACTTGGTACAATGCTGCTAAAGTGCGCAAAATCCCACGTTGTACAGCTGAGAAAGGCTGATTGGAGCCGGCCTTCCACATCATACCCAACTCCTATCAGCAGACACCATAGAAACACGCCGCCTGCGGGTGGAAGAGAAAATAACCACGCAGTTCTGCCGAAAAGTATAGCCGGAAGTGGAACCACCTTGGTGCTATAATTTTGTGCGACCGACTGACTCTACCGTCACGAAGAGGAAGCAAGCAACATCCAAAGCCGTAGCCCACAATGTGCCATTCTCTCTGTAAGTATACCGATATCGGCGTTCTGAAAGTCTACTCCTTGTGATAGCCGAAACTCTGTAAGTACCGCGTACACAAACCTGGGGAAACTTTATCCTGACGCGGTCTAGGAGCTTTCCCGACGTGATTGACAGCCATCCAACCACCATCGTGCGCAGAGAGACCGTCAAGAGAACTCAGTGCATTGCCGGAACAAAATTTGAGACACTCAGACGAGGTGACATAACCCTAAACCTATGCCCAGAATCTACGCCACATGCTCTCTTCGATTGACAGCAAGTAAATGTCAATTGCGAGCGCTAATAACTTGCTGTGAAAATTGCACTTTTCGGACGTATTAATGCAGAGCGTTCAGCTACTCATTGTACTGCACCTTCCAATACAAATCTTCTGCAGGACTATGGTAACAAAAGTTAGTTATAAGGAACAAAATTCGAGGTGGAGAATCGGGCCTGCTTACCGATCTGAGCACACTCTGCCGCTGCTTGGAGTCGTTGAAAACCCGTCGATATTGACGTATACTGTCGCACATGACAACCTGCTTGGTAGTGGTTCCCTCACAGATAGCCTTCATCCTCAGTTCTAATTCCTTGCGGAGGAATGGTTTGCTGAAGCTGATATCAAGCTCCATTCTGTCGTAGCCATCCACCAGAGCCATGCCAAGCTTGGAGGGTATGAACTCTTCCAGCCCGCCTCCTCCATTACCAGCACCGCGAGCAGACCCTCCGCCCCTGGGTCCTCTACCCCCCCCTCTGTCACCTCGTCTTCCACGCGCTGCAGCATAATCGACATTGCTACCACCCCCGCCACCCCTTGCTCTTGTAAAAACATATTCTCGTTCTTTGATTTTGGCGATATGCTCAGCCATGGTAGCATCAGTACCTATGCCATTAGCATCCATCAGCGAGATCAAATCCGCTTCAGTCAGGTAGCTTGGAGCTGACGTTTGACCATCTGTAATCATGGCTTCAGTAGGCTCGAATCTCTCCCCAAGTGTAAAATTTGGCAACATGACAGTATTGTTCCAGCTATGATATGGATAGACATCAAGGTAGTTGCGCTCAAGAACTATCACCCCGTGAGTATGAAAGTTCTCATCGCCGTACTCAATCTCGACGTCCGTCTGTTGACCTTTGGCATCATCTGAACAACAGGCTAAAAATCGTCGAGTGATGAATTCGTAGACCTTCCCTTCGTCTGCATTCAATGCTGCTGGTTCACAATGAGCAATGGGATGAATTGGAGGATGAGCCTTATCGTCGTGTCTTCCTTCTCGAGGCTGTTTGAAAGCTCCGTTCGCCAGATCTTGGGCATACAGCCCCCAACGATTGTCAGGAATCTGCTTTGCCACCAATGCTTTGAGGTCTATACCCTTATCGAACCGG